AAATCCGATGATTAATAATTATAATCGAAAAGGCAAGGTCATGCTAATTAGCTTTTAACATTTTAAAATCTTAATTAGAAGGTGTTTGATGGGGATTAAAATTAGATTTTTCAGTAGATTGTTATAAATTTTTTTGAAATGTATAGTTGAAAAGTTGTGAGACACATAAAAGATATGATTAATATTGATTGTTTGACTTTGATTTGAATTAAAATCAGATTTTAATCAAAACCAAATAAACTAGAGCCCAATTTGGCCCAATTCTTTCCAAATTTTAATGGTTGGAATTGTTTTTTTTTTTTTTTTAAATGTGTGGTTGAAAAGGAATAAAAAGTTTTTGATTTGTGTATAATATTATTTTATAGAAGATTGTGTGGTTGAAAATAAGAGAGAGAAAAAAAATGAAAAAGAGAATGGAGGCCAAACATGGGCTTAATGTACATGAAATTTATTAATTTTTAAATTGATTGCATTTTTTTTTGTAAGGGCTAAAGTGCACTTTCCATCTGCAACCATTTTTTGTCACAATTTTACCCCAATCTTCCATTAATTAGCATTTCTCAGTCCTTGATAATCATTTTTGTCCAAATTCCTGTTACAGTAATGTAAAAAGATGATTTTACCCTCCATCATTGATGACGGTTTTTGTCCAAAAATTCTATTACAGTAGTTTAAATAAACAAAAATTGAATATAAAAGAGTAAATAATAAGATGGATTTTGGATTTTTTTTAAGAATGTTGATACGGTCAATATTTTTTTCCCCACAAATTTCGTAGTTATGGGTTTATCTCATTTATATGTATGATGCATTAGATATTTAGAAGGCTGACCTCAATTATGATTTTAATAAATTTTAAAATGATCATAAATTTTACTGAATTTCATGAATTTAAATAGATGTGTACAGAATACATAAGAATCTCGTTAAAAATGGTCTAATTTCAAAAGGGTTTGTTATGTGTATTTTTAGGATTGAAATTCATCTAGATCTCTTGAAACCCCTTTATTAATGAAATCCTTATAAATCTTTATTGAGGACACCTAGATTTTAATGGATTTAATGAAATTAATTAGAATTTCAGTTGATTACACCTAGATTTCATCAGATTTTAATATAATCCATTAAAATCTCTATTGGGGACACCTGAATTTAAAAGGACTTTTAAAATTCACTAAATTCTCAGTTGAGGTCGTTGTTATTTTCCGCTAATGTTTTGTGTTGTACATTTTGATTATTCAAAATTAAAAATAAAATGGTTCTTATTTTTGGGTGAATGTTTTTCATAAATTCTATCTTGAGCTTGTTTTAAATGAAGTCTGTGATTGTGGGGTTTTTCTCATTTCTATGTATCCACCAATTTTATGGGATTGCATATGATATTTATTTGCTAAGCTCTACCAAAATAAAAAGAATTCTTGATACGGTTTGACATAATCTATTTTTGGGCTTCTCTTTTTTCATGTTCTACATGAATTTTTTGACTGTAGGTTTCTCCTCTCTCTCTCTCTCTCTCTCTCTCTCTCTCTATTTATTTATTTTTTAATTTTATGAACGGACACAATTGTGTGGACATGCATACAAATTTGCCTTGATTTTTTTCTAAGAACTTTTTTTTTTAATTTTTTATTTTTGTCAAATTTCGTGATTCTGCATGTGCGTATTGGTTTTCCTCACTGGTGATTTATGTCATGCACGTAAGTTCCTGTACAATTTGAATGCTGTTAATTTGAAAATGAAAGTTTAAATGACCCTAAAAGTAGAGCATTTGCTCTGGACAAGCAGCAGAATGCAGAGATATCGCAAGGGCTTTGATTGCTCACTGCTAATGCATGTATTTATTGCATTTTCATCCCATCTTCAGCGCATTAAGTCTAATTTGCAGTAGTGTATGGCATTGACCTTTTGACAACTGTCTAGAAGAAGAGATGCCACAATTGCGTTGACTATCCACTGTTGAAGTGTTCGATATTGCATGCTGGAACCTTTTTAGGTGATCAGAGGATTAGTTTCCATTACCTCGTGTATATCTACATCATATAAAGTCATGTTGAATCATTTTGTCATTATACTAATTTACACGCGCCTTGAAGGAAAGACGGGGGCAGAATATACTATACATTAATATAGCTCCATGCAAGTCAATTGGTTCTTTGGCTGTGAAGAACAATACAAAACGTGATTTTTCAAAGCGTGATTCTTTAGTCGTAAAAGTTTCCTTTCTGTTTTGTTTAACATTCTCCTTAATCTGTTCCAGTAACAACAATATGAATGTACTATTACAGTGACTTAGTCTCCTAGTTCAAGTGCTTCCAGAATTATTGGTAAATTTATTTTGTTGTGTTGAGAATTCAGTTTAGTTTATGTAACAATTATAATATAAAATGAAGAAAGTATTCTAGAATTCAAGTACTTACTTCTATTTAAATTAGTAATTAGTAGTTTGTGATGTGAAAATTAATAAACTAAGAAGGGAAAAATTGAAGAAGATGTCGTTTCAGGTAGTTAGGACTTTTATTAAATATTTCTGAAAGTGACTTAGACCTTAGAAAGTTATATCTGGACTTACACTGTTATCTGGACTTACACTGTCCTTTACATAGTAAAATAGGACTTAAATGTTTCCTTTTCTTTTAGCTTTTTTTGTGATTATAATTTTTCTTCTTTTTAGATCATAGCCGAGTTTCGGGTCCTGAAGAGCGCTTGAGATCAGCTTTAAGAGATCAGCTTTAATGACTTCAGGAAAAGATGTTGCAGATCCACCACCAAATATCCCCGCTATCATGGGCAATACTGGGAGGCTCAACATCTTGTAATCAAATGAAGACAGACCAAAGGTGGAGTCACGTGACGATGGTGAGGATTTCAAGTATCCAATGATGTCAATTGTCAAATAATGCTCTCAAGAAAATTCGTAAAAATGTTATGATTTGTTTGTTTTATGTAAAGTATTATAGAATTTAATAATTACTTTGATATAAATTAGCAATTAGTAGTTTGTTGATGTGAAAATTAATGATCTAGGAGTGCAAAAATCAAAGATGTCTTTTCAGGTGGTTATGACTTTCATAAAATATTTCTTAAAGTGAATTAGATTTTAGAAATTTATATCTGAACTTATACTGTCCTTTAGAAAGTAAAATAGGACTCAAATGTTTCCTTTTCTTTTAGCTTTTTTGTGATTATTATTTTTTCTTCTTTTTAGATCCTAGCCTAGTTTCGGGCCCTGAAGAGCACTTGAGATCAGGTTTAATGACTTAAGGAAAAGATGTTGCAGAGCCACCACCAAATACCCCATTACCCTGGGCAACACTGGCAAGCTCAACATTTTGGAGTCAAGTGTAGACAGACCAAAGATGGAGTTACGTGGTGATGTGAGGATTTCGAGTATCTAATAATGTCAAATAATGCTCTCAAGAAAATCCATAAAAATGTTATGATTTGCTTGTTTAGAAAATTTCGTTTAGCTCTCTTGTGGTGGTGATCCACATTCGACAGGAGACAATGATTTAAAGGCTATCATATTGAGTTCTAAATGTGATTCAGGAAAACAAGGTGAACAAATGCACAAAACAGAAATAGAAGTAGATGAATCAGGCAAAAGCCTCGGATTGATATTGACTTTAAGAACAGTGGATATCAGCAGAAGGAATCTGAGGAACCCTGACATTTTTTAGCTGTCCTTGTGGAAGAATATGTTAAGGACTTGGCTCGAGGGCCTGTTGAGCAAGGACGCACGAAAAGTGACAGTTAAGGCACTTGACAAATTCATAGCCCATTTCGACCTCACCATATTCCCAGCATGGGCATATCAATTGAGTCATTTATTAATGCGTTTTGGGCAAAACTTCAAAAGCTAGTTGAGGTTAGTTATTTTGAGTTACACGATTATATGTTCTGAGGAAGACTTATTGTATAAACTATTTTGCCTTTGACATTTGGTTATTATTATTACACAAATATATTGAGATGAGAAATCTTGACATGCTTTTCTGATGGGTCTTTCTAGCATATTCTGTAATTTCTCCCAGTTGGAAGTTCTGAACCATTCTTTGCTGATTATCATGCTTCTCTTCGAAGGCTAATTCTGGGACTCCTGAAATGCTTAAAATTTTGATTGTGAGGTGTCTTATGGATGGAGGTGAAATTGTAGAGTGGTTAGAGCAGGCTATAGGAGACAAGTCAAAGGTAACAGAGGGTCCAATGAGTATTGGTCCTCTTAGATTTCTCCTTTAGTTAGTGTAATGTGAAAAGAAAATATAGCTAGATGTACACTAGCATTATTTATTCTCAACCTTGTTATAGGAATATTATGGGTTGCACCTTGGTTTACACTCTTCCATTTGGCATGATCTACACCATTGATCTTCCCCTTGATTTTCTCATCGATGCACGGATTTCCCCTATGATGGATTCCCCACACATAGGGGGAATGTCAAAGTGTACATCTAGCATGATTCATTCTCTTTTCCCATGATACTATTCGAGTGCTTGTTTTACTCCTCGTTTAAAGGTCATCTCCCTGGGGCTTATTCCTAGAGGTGCCAAACCGGGCACACCCACCTTGAAATAGCCTAGATTTATTACTAGCCCGATCCTGAATTGCGTCGATTCATGTGCCGGCAAGCCTTAATTGGTGGGTCCATCTGGTGGCCGTGCCTTTTAAAAAGTAATTAAAATAGGAATTCCAATCAAATTTGGACCGATTAATATTTTTCTATGCTACTGATGGTAGGGTTGGCAACGGTTCGGTTATGGGTCGGTTCGGCCAAAATCATAACCGCACCACCAATTTTTTGACCATACCATAACCGCACCATAACCACGTAAATCGGTTCAGTTCGGCACGGTTCGATTCGGTTAATAACCACGAAAATAAATTATTTTTATAGGTTCATCCGTCAAATTGATATAAAATAATTTATTAAAAAAGTCAATGAGAACAAAAATACAATATTCCAAACGAAAATGCAAACATTATCAAACAATATTTCAAATGAAAATGCAAACATTATCCCAATTTTCAATTGTAAAATACAAATTTAACAAACAATATTATAAATATAACAATACTAAACTTTTCCTTCATTCTTAAATGTTGTGCATCGAAGTTACTTGATTCATTTCTCTCAACAAGTCTTACTAGCATAGATCGACTTTCAAAGTTGATTCCTATATAGTAAATAAGAAATATAAGTAGAAAATACAACGATACTACCTATTCCAGAATGATCTTAACTAATCTTTAAATAAAAAAATGTAAATTTTCATCAGCTTCCTTCTCGCTAAATGTTGTACAAGCTCTAGAGTATGATGAAGAAGTAGATTTTCTACACACAATAGAAAAAATAACAATAAAAGGAGCCGTACGTGAGTTTGTGGTTTGTAGAGAGTAGGGTTCGCATTTATATCCTGTTATACTAATGCTATTATTATGAGCTAATGGTAAGTGGGTTGGCCGGCTGAGTCAGGTAGATGTAATGGGAGGGGTTTTGTTTTGGGCTAGATGAAAAAGTAATGTAAAGCCCAATAATCAATTCAGTTTTTTTTTTTTAGCGGGTAATCGGTTCGGTTTCGGTTCGATAGCGTAAATATCATACCCGCACCGCCATGAACCGGTTTATTAAAATAAAAATCATATCCGCCCCATTGCACAATCGGTTCGATTTTTTTTGCCTCATTCGGTTCGGTTAACCGCGATTTTCGATTTTGACGGTTCAAATTGCCATCTCTAATTGATGGTATTCATGTAATGAGATGATAAGGTCAATATAGTGAGTCTCATATCTATGCACTTAATTGGCCTTTATCATTTAATGCCCCATCACCTACCGCATCACATGAAGATCACTTCTAGTAGAGACGAGAATTTTCAATGGGGCTGTGGATTGCACTAAAAAGTATCACATAACCCCAAAAGTATCCTAGACATACTCCATTTTTATTTATTTTAAATCTATTTTCACAGTCTCTCTACATCATCTCTATTGTACATGCAGTCCATAATTAGTGCAATCCACAACTTCATTGGAGATGCTCCTCTCCTTCCATCATTTTGCTTGCCACGTGTACAACAATGCAAATTGTTGCATTGGAGATGCTCTAAATAGCATTACTATGATCTCCATGTGATGTGGCACCAAGCCATAAGGTCAATAAAGTGAGTCTCATGTTCATGCATTTGAGTGACATTATCATTTTATGCCTTATCACATGAAGATGATCTCTAGCAATGATAAATAACATTATTCTTTTGATTTGGAAGTTTCAATGAAGGAATTAATTCCTTTATTAGAATTCCAACCTTGAAATCGTGAACTGTGATGTTAATGCCTTGATTTAGGGTGTTCCAAAGCAAGTTCAACAAAATTGTTATTTAATTTGTCATTAATTTATTGCCTCTAAGCTTCTTGTTTATACATATTTGCTTGCTTTAATTTAGGGGAAAATTAGGCTAAGCACCATAGCTTTTCCTGTAGTGTTGTTATGGTCCCCAACTTTCAAAAGTAAAGTTCTAAGCTTTCAATTGGTTTAAAAATGTGAATCTGCGTCTCCCATAACCAATGTCAATACATAGATGTTAAATTGCATGCGACTTTCACATGACTCAAAGCTAGTGGGAAAACTATCAAATCATTAATCATTTCTCTTCAACCAATTGAAATTCACATTGAACCTTAACCTCTACATTAACTGTTTCGTCACGTAGGAACCTAGATTCATAAGTTTAATTCGGTTGGAGACTTAGAACCTAACTTTTGAAAGTTGAGGATCCATAACCATACCATGTGCAAGTTAGAGAGCATAACCCTAATTTTCCCTTAATTTAATACCTAATTTCAAAATTTAATAAATTTATATGTAAAGTGTTATATCTCCCCCTGCGACCCACGTAGCCGAACCCATGTATGCATCATGTGGCTGAGTATGCGAACCCATGTGGCTGAACCCTCATGCAAGAGCCTTGATGGGTTGAGGCAAAGCCGAGGAAAGGATTTGGTGGGAAATCTCGTAATTAAATCTATTTTCGTGATTGATGTGACGACTCCTTGTTACCGTCGCCACAGCCAATCTATTTAGTCAAGTCTACTGTCACAAGCTAGGATTTATGGATGACAAAGTGATATTAGCTTTCATTTCGCGTGATTAATTGATGCCCACTGTGGGAAGCTTCAATCGCATGGATGAGGCCACGTGTCTTTTCATTCGAGATCCTTGCTCATTCTCCCATACTATAAAAGCTCACACTTTGTGTCATTCTAGGGTAATACAAGTTTAGACTTCCCATATTATAACTTTGCTTTCTTTATTCTCTATATTACTCCCAAAGTCGACCCCTTTTATCGTTGAGGTTCACGTTTAAAGCTCTCCTACACTCGTATGCTTGTCCTCCCAAAATTGACTTGACTATCGGAGTGCGCGCGGCCGGCTCCACCCCCACCGGAGAAGGCCACGTGTGACTAACGGTTTGTCTTAGTATGAAGGAACAAATTTTGCATGGACGTCAGAGGCCTTGGGATCTGTTGATACGTCAATGCTACATTTTTTGAGGTCAACATAAAACATAAAAGAGGTGATTTTGGCTAATCAAATCAAACCGGCCCAGATTTAGACGGGCCAGGTTTCTTAAAGTATATTAGGCTTAATTGGTGGTTGTATTTAATCATTGAGCTAAATTAGATTATTTTGGTTGGTTTATAGTTCTATAACTCTATTTCTCTTTAGTAACAGGAAAGGAGACGTTGCTGTGAAAATGTAATATTCTTGAGGATCATAAATTTTTTGTTTCAAGCGCTTTCCTGTTGACTGGCAAAACCGATGAACGAAGTGGGAAGCCTGACTTAGGTATGTTCCATTGAGCTTTTTGAGAACTTACTGCTTGAAAGCACTCCGTAAACTGCTTAGTAACTTTATGGTATCGGTAAGCATCACAGTGCTAATGCCAAAATATGTACTTCAAGTTCAAGTACCAGTTGTTTGATAGAGATACATGATACTCATCATTCCAGACAAATAAGACATGATACAAAGCAGTATTACAGACGTATTCTTAGATACTGGAAGTGCAGAACAAACGTGCCTCTTCTGTCCATCAGGTTCTGATGTAAGGGATATACTGTTTATTTCACATGGACGGAAACAAGGTTCTTGAAAAAAATTGGTGCAATAGACAGAAGACAGAGCCTTGCATTACAATGCTAATGCCATTCGCTTCCTGAGAGAATTCCCTTTTATCAGTTTGGAAGGATTGAATTTACCTTCAGTAACATCTCAACTTCTCCATTCGTGAGAGTCATACGAGCTTTTGAGTCGATGTTCATTATGGCCTGCCAAGCATCTTCGATGTCGTCTTTTAGCTTCGTCAAATTCCATTAGTTAATGAAACCTGCAGAACATCATAACTGTCAAGATGTTAATTCCCCCTTTATCCTTGCCAAGTTTCATTCATAGTATCTAATTTCCCCGGAGAACTCCCACGGGCTTGTGCTGTAGTGTTTAGTTGCCACAGACCAATTGATTATGGTGTGGTGACTGGAGTTAGAAGATGTCAGATTAAAAAAAGGTTAATAAAAGTACCAGATTTTATTTTATTTCTTATCAATGGACACAGAAGCCTTCTAAAGTGAAAATTGAGATAAGTCACTGAGTTCTACTATAATAGTCCACAATGTCATGGACACAAAAGCCTTTTAAAGTGCAATTCATTTTTGTTTTAGATTTTGTTTGGATCTAGTATCATGTAGTCAATGCTGAATTTTGCATGTTAGCCTTGATGCGAAGTGCTGGAATCAATAATTAGAACTACTGAAACTTCTACTAATCCCCATACCAATGGCAATGGGTCAATTCGAGTGTAATGACAATTCAAATTACATTAATGGTATATATGATGCATGATTATGATTTTACTTGATATTGGAGTATAAAACTACACGTTTGATGGAGTTAAGTTCCAAGTGGATTTATGGTTAGAATGTTTGTT